GACAAAGAGACAGAAAGTGAGAAATCACCCCCCAGGGGGGATGGCCACGCCACAATTCCTTCTCCTCCATTCTCCTCTCGGGATCTTGGACACGTATGCACACATGCCTGGCGTGAGTTTTAAGTCACCAGGTCCGGGGCGCAAACGGCAGTCAACTACGTGGGAGTCCAGGGACATAGCCATTATGCTAACTGCTGGTCCCACAAACTGTTTTTTTAAGAAGGTAAACAAAATTGATAAATTATTAGCTACACTAATCAAGAAAAACATAGAAAGGAACCAGATAGATAAAATCAGTAATGAGGTTGGTAATATTACAACCAGGATATTGGAAATACAAAAAATTATGAGAGAATACTATGAGCAACTATACACCAAGAAACCAGAAAACCTAGATGAGATGAACAACTTTCTGAACAAGTACAAGTTACCTAGGTTGAAGCAGAATGAAATAGAAAATCTGAATAGTACAATAACAAGTGAAGAGATTGATTGATTGCTTCTATTACCTTGATACCAAAACCAGACAAGGACATGACGAATAAAGAAAACTTCAAACCAATATCCCTGATGAATACTGATACAAAAATTTTCAACAAGATACTAATAAACCGAATCCAACAACATATCTACAAGATTATACACCATGACCAAGCAGGCTTTATCCTGGGGATGCGATCAACACATGTAAAACAATAAATGTAATATACCACATTACCAGAAAGACAAATATCATACTCATATCTAAGGATGCAGAAAAAGTATCTGATAATATAGAACATTGCTTCATGATCAAGACTATCAGCAAATTGAAGTAGAAGGGACATTTCTCAACATAATAAAAGTCCTACTTTGAACCTCATACTGAATAAGGGAAAAGCTAAAAGACTCAAAATGGATAAACACAGACTTAACGTTAAATGAGCCAGACTTTGAAAGATAGCACACTGTACTGTATATCCTCAGTCAACTCACTCAGTTTGTACTGAATGCTATGGCAGAGGCTGATTGACTTGAAAATGTGATTGTGGAGAGGAGGGTATAAATGCTAGTGACTTTAAGGGGGGAGAGTAGATGGTAGAGAGTGTGTGGTGGAGGGTAGGTGTCAGGTGCAAGGGAGGAATCATTTGACAGAATTATGTAAAGCTCACTGTTGAGTTAAATTAAAAAAAAAAAAAAAAGGAATCAGGAAACAACCTAGAGCCAAGAATGGACAGAGTTCTTAACTAGGGATCCAAGACCCTGAAGAGGTCCATGGGTAGAACTCAATGGAACCATAAACTCGGGAGACATAAAACCGTTTCTATTAGTCTCTAAATATAGTATTTACTTTTATCTATAATGTGAGCAACAAAATCACAGTGGTATTAGCAGTACCTGTGACTTTGTCACCAACAGGAATCACAGATTTTTTTGGTTTGAGAGGTTTTTGCTATAGAGCATGTGCTCTCGCCAGAAAGAGAGAGACAGAAAGCGAGAAATCACCCCCCAGGAAGGATGGCCACGCCGCAATCCCTTCTCCTCCATTCTCCTCTCGGGATCTTGGGCATGCACGCACACACGCCTGGCGTGAGTTTAAGCCACCAGGTCCAGGACTCGAACCATGGTCAACTACATGGGAGTCCAGTGAAATAGCCATTACACCAACTGCTGGTCCCACACAGATTTTTTTTTTTTAGTCACATTAAATTGTAATTGTTGCAGATGTCTCAAAATTCATAATGCTTATCACTACCTCAAAATTTACATCTCTTGACTGAATCATTTTCGCTTGTATTTGATTTAATTTAATTGTGTTTTGTTCATCATAGCCCTTCCAGGAGGACAAGATGTGAAGGTGGAAGACCTTGACACTAATGATCCTGATCCTGTGTAAGTCAGGCTTATGTCTGTGTGTTTGTGTCTTATTTTTTAGAAAAATGTTTTAAAAGTTTTTAAATTTTTAAATGGAAAAATATGTATAGAATAAGAATATAAAGAAAAATATTTTTGTAGAGTTTCACAATGTGTTTGTGTTTTAAGGTGTTATTACAAAATGGTCAAAAAGTTTTAAGGATTTTTTTAAAGTTTCTAAAGTAAAAAGTTATAGTAAGCTAAGGTTAATTCATTATTGAAGAAATTTTTCTTTTTATAAATTTAGTATGCTCTAAGTATACTCTAAATCTACAGTAATACATAATACTGTCCTAGGCTTTCACATTCACTTACCACTCACTCACTAACTCACCCAAAACGACTTGCAGTCTTGCAAGCTCCATTCATGGTAAGTGCCTTACACATGTGTACCATTCTTTTTCATCTTGTATACCATTTTTTTATTATGCCTTTTCTATGTTTAGACACACAAAAATTTGCCATTGTGTTATAATTGCCTACAGTATTCAGCATAGTAACATGCTATACAGGTTAGTAACCTAAGAGCAATAGATTATATCTTATAGTCTATGTGTATAGCAGGTGATACTACCTAGGTTGGTTAGTGTTAGATACTAGGTTGGTTTGTGTAAGTACACTCTATGATTTTCACACAATGATCAAATTGGCAGTGAAGCATTTCTTAGAATGCATTCCATCATTAAACAATGCATGACTGTACTTGGAATGCATCAATGCATTGGAATGCATCAAAATTTAAAACGCACTCTTCAAAAAACATTAGTTTTTAAAAGAATTATTTATTTAATTATATTTATCATTACTGTTATTAGTTTTAATTTGCTTCAGGGCACAGGTATGAGAGAGAGAGAGAGCAAGCTACCAGATCCAGGATTTGAACTGCAGTCGGCCATGTGGAAGTCTAGTACCTTAATCACCACACCACCCACTGTCCCCAAAACATTTTTTTGAGAGCTTTTTTTGTTATAGGGCATATGCACTCACCAGAGAGACAGAGACACAAAGCAAAAACTCACCCCTTAGGGGAGATGGCTACACCACAATCCCTTCTCCATTCTCCCCTTGGGATTTTGGGCACACACACATGTGTCCAGCATGAGGTTCGAGCCACCAGGTCCTGGACTTGAACTGCAATCAACTACATGCGAGTCCAGCACCTCAACCACTTTGCCACCTGCTGGCCCCCCAATAAAGTTACTAAGAAAAGGTAAACAAAACCCAAAGACTGGAAGAAAGTATGTGCAAAGCACATATCTGACAAAAACTTGTATCCAGAAAATATAAAGACATATCAAGACTCAACAATAAGTAAACAAAACATTTGAATAAACACATCACCTAAGAAGATATATGGTTGGCAAATTAGCACATGAAAATTTGTTAAGATCATAAGTCCACAGAAAATTTTGAATTAAAACCACAATGTGTGACCAGCAGGTGGCATGGTAGTTAAAGCACTGGACACTCCCACATAGTTGACAATGGTTCAAGTCCCAGATGTCGTAGCTTTTGCTTTCTCTCCCTCTCTCCCTGTGTGTGTGTGTGTGTGTGTGTGTGTGTGTGTCTGGTAAAATTAAAATAAATGAATGAATAAATTAAGTTAAATAAACAATTCTTTTAAAAAAACACATACATAATGATCTACCATTACATACCTATGTGGATGGTGAAAATTTAGTGTTTTTAAAAACTGACATTACCAGGGAACCAGCAGATGGCATAATGGTTAACGTCATTGAACTTCCACATGGCTGACAACATTTCAAGTCCCAGACCTGGCAGTTTAAAACTCACACCAGGTGCATGTACATGTATGCCCCAAATCCCTAAGAATGGAGTAGAATAGATGGTGCCAGCCAACCCCTCTGGGGTGGGGGTGGGGTGATTTCTAGCTTTCTGCCTCTCTGTCTCTGTCTTTCCAGCAAGCACACACATCTTATAGCAAAAATCTCTAAAAAAAAAAAAAAAAAAGAAAGAAAGAAAAAACTGACATTACCAAGTGCTGACTAAGTTGGGAGCAACTGAAACTATTATATATTGCCAATGAAAATGCAAAATGGGACAGCCATTTTACAAAAACACTTGGCAGTTTCTTATAAAGTTAAGCATACACTTCACATTTGACTACACAATCTCACTCCAAGAGGTTTACCCAAGAAACGAAAATTTGTACTTGCACAAAACCTGCACACAAATATTTAAAAGGTCTCATTAAATAATTGCCCAAAACTGGAAGCAATCCAAAAGTTCCTCAACTAGGGAATAAATGAAGTATATAAGTATCAGCTGCTTTATGTGAAGTTGAAAGAAGCCAGATTCAAAAGACTGTATACATGGTATTGGATTCTCTCACTACGACATTCCGGAGGAAGAAAACTGAATTTTATCACATGTACATTGTCTCAATTTTGGAGTAATATTGTATCAAGGTCTTAATTACGCTCATACATCCATGAGATAAATCAGAATTGCTGAGAGTACATTTACATTTCAAATTTCAGTGGCCTAACTGTCCTCCAAAAAAGGTCGTACCAAATCAGGATACTACCAACACGGTATAAGATGAAAGTGCCCATTTGTCCATACTTGCCTGGGGCCAATCTGGTATCATCAAAATCTCATTTGTACCCATCTGATAGGTGTCACTTGAGTTTGACTGACATTTCTTTAATTACAAGTCAAGTCTCTAAACGAATGTTTACTGGCCATCTGTTTATACTTCGTTTCCCTGTGAAATGCTTATTTGCATCCTTGGCTGTTTATGATCTAGCTGATTAAACAGGTAGTGATCAGTCCTGGATCTCGGTGGCTATAATGCACTGCACCGGGCCCCCACATCATGAACTTTTCCCTCCTGGCCCAGGAAATCTGAACAACAGTCTTCCAGGAAGCGGAAGCCCCTGGGGCTCAGAGCTGTCGACCCCATTCTGGGCCTAACCCCGCTGGGCCCGCCCCCGAGGCCCGGCCCGCCCTCTCATTGGCCCTGCCCCCTCTTCCTGGTAGCCCGTCTTCAGGACAAGCAGCCAGACACGACTCCGCCCCGCCCATTCATGGGAGTGCCGCGCGGCAGCCGAGCTCCGCCCCTCGTCTGTACGGTCCCTCACCTTCCCGGCGGGAACTCGGGGAACCAGGTGGGGTCGGAGCTGACGGGCGCGGAAGCGCGTCGCTCACATTCACAGCGTCCTCACTTCCTGCCAAAGGGGAGCAGCCTTTCTTGCCACCACAGGCTCTCTGGAGGTAGAAGAAGTTGCGGGTCCAGAGCCCTCCAGCCTCCAGGAACGCTGTTCCCCTGGCAACCAGAAGCACCACGCCCCGTAGTCTCGCGATAGTAGAGAAGGGCCGTACCATCTAGAAAAAGCACGTGGGGGTCACGGGCAGTCAGGTAGACAGAGCAGTGGAAGCCACGGCGGCTCTGCTGACCCCTTCTTCGCGGCGGATGGCGTGCCTGGGACGTGGTTTGCTTGTATTTAGAGGGTTGGACTTGGAACCAGGAAATCTGATCACCCACTATCATATATGATGCCTCAGGCCAGCTACTGTCCTTAAGCTCAGTTTCCTACTCCATAAAATGGGAATGATAATGATCCCCTCCTCACAGGACTGTTGTACAACTCAAAGAGATCATGTTTGTGAAACTCCTGGTAAATCTGGGGTGCTATGCAAATCAAAATACTAGTTTTGCACATTCCCAACAGGATAATTGCTATTTGCCCTTTTTTCTCAGTGCGTGAAGACTTTCTCTGGGTCCCCAACCTGATATTTTTCTTCTCTAGTACCATCAAATTTCTGCTTCTTCCCAGCTGGAACAGCACTTCACATTTTATTAGACATTCTCACAGTATTACCTCCTTTGTCATTGTTTTAGGTGCGAAGGATGCAAATACTTCCAGTATTTTCAGCTGAACAAATAGGCATAGGGTGAGTGAGTTGCACAAAAGCAGAGCTACAATCTAGGGCAGTGCTGGGTGTATAAAGCTTTGGGCTGTAAATGCCAGGACTATAGTGCTGAATCCTGCATTTCTATCTGCAGCCTAGACTTCCCCCCTAAACTCTAGGCTCCTTTATCTACTGCTTATTGGATATCTCCACTTAGACCTTTAAGAAGCATCTCAAACGTAACATCTAAAAAAATAAATAAAATTTCTTCTCCACAATCACCTACCCCACTCCTAGCCCTGTCAGTAATTGGTAACTCTCTCCTGCCAAGCTCAGACCAAAAACCTTGGAGTCATGCCTAATTTTTCTTTCTCTCACATGCTATAATCTATTTGTTATAAATCTTACTGGCTCTGTAGTCAAAAATTTATCCAGAATCCAAAGACTTTTTACACCTCAATGCCTCCATTCAGTTCCACATGCCTATCATCTCCTCTCACCTAGATTTTTGCAGTAACCTCCTGTTGGCTACCTTGCCCCTACTCTTTCTTTTTTTTTTAATTGCAAACACAAATTTTAATTTTTAATCTTTAGTTTGTTTTAAACATTGCTTTTAGTATGATGCCGACACCAGCTATGCAGAAGGGCTCTGGAGAGATGCTCATAGCAGCACACACCTGTGATTCTTCTTGGGTTCTGGAGGCTCCAGGACAGCCAGTATTGCTTCATCAGATACATTCTTTAGGCCTTTCTGTGTGAGTGCAGAACACTCCACGTACTTGACAGCCTTCATGTCCCGGGCCACCTTTTCAGCAGTCTCTGGAATGATAGACTTCTGTTAGTTCTTGGCGAGTTTCTCAATAGTAGAGGGCTCATCTCTGAGATCAATTTGGGTCCCAACAAGCAAGAAAGGAGCCTTTGGACAGTGATGAGTTACCTCAGGCACCCACTTTTCTTTCACGTTTTCAAATGAGGATGGAGAGACCACTGAAAAGCAAACTAGAAATAAATTCGTTTGTGGATAACTCAGCCGTGGTAATCTGTCATAATCCTCTTGCCCTGCGGTATCAAAAAGCCCAAGAGTATATGGCTCTCCACCAATCATAACCGTGACTGCGTTGTTGTCAAAAACAGTTGGTACAGGGACCCAGCAGTTAGCGTAATGGCTATGTCGCTGGACTCCCACGTAGTCGACCACGGTTCGCGTCCTGGACCCGGTGGCTTAAAACTCACGCTGGGGACGTATGCATGCGTGCCCAAGATCCCAAGAGGAGAATAGAGAAGAAGGGATTGCAGCGTGACTATCCCCCCTGGGGGGTGATTTCTCGCTTTCTGTCTCTCTGTCTCTGTCTGTCTGTCTGGCGAGCGCACGCGCCCTATAGCAAAAATCTCTCAAAATAAAAAAAAAACCAGTTGGTACATATTCAGATGGAAATTTGTTTGTTGTGTAGGATTTCAGGAGACATGTTTTACCGACAGCACCATCACCCACAACAACACACTTAATTGTCTGCATTGCTGAAATAGTTGTGTATCCACTTTAAATATTTCCAGTTTGATGCTGACCTTAGCTCCTCCACCCAGGCATTGGTCCCTACTCTTACTTTCAACACAGCAGTCTGAAGAATGCTTTCAAAACCAAAGTCAGACCAGGTCACTCCTCTGCTCAGGACTCTCCATGACTCACCATTTCTTTTAGTCCACATTTGCCTCTGAGTCCTAAATGACCAGGCTCTTCTGTTGCCTCTGACCTCCAGTGCTATCACTTGCCTCCTGGCAAATTTTGCTCCATCCTCACTGTTCTGGTCAGTGTTGTTATACAGGAGTGCCATCTCAGATCTCAGAATTTCTCAGGAAATTTATGTTTTTCCAAATCCCAAATTCCAAAAGAAAAAGTTGAGAAATTAAGAAAAAAGAGAAAGTATTCTAATTCTTTTGTGAGAATTAAGCCTTAACCGTAAACATGGAGATGTTACTGAAGAAATCCACTAATGTGAAGTTGAAAGCAAGAGTGAGAGAACGATGCCACTCTGAATCAGAGGTTGATGTCAACATTTCAGCATTTCTGGGAACCAGGACAGGAGCACCTGGGAAAGGCCTGGTCACCATCCAGTCAGTTTTCCTGTAGCTGGTGCAATGTTTTAAGCGTATGTTCCCAGCCCTGTCTGCTGCCAGTGAATCATTCTTGCAAATGAAATAGACATGAATATGTTAATACTCATTGTATAACGTTATAAAAAATGCTCTCAACAGTTTTTCAAGAATTAAGTTTCCTATTCAAAATAAATTCTCAAATTGGCAATTTCCAGCCTGTGGTTCTGTGTAGTGTGGTTAACCTCTCTAGATTTCTGTTACATTATTGGAATATACTCATAATGTTTTCTGTGTTTTCCAGAATCTGCTATAACCTACAGTTCCTATGAATACTTCTAAATTTAAAAGTTCTTATTTTTTAAACCAACACTTCAGATAGTCATAATAATGAGTAAAGAATTTGAAGAAGGTTGAAAAATTTTTAAAACAACTTTGAAATCTCCTAGCAGTCCTGACTTTCTGTCTCTGTATCTAAAAAGTTACTATGTTAGGAATTTGGAAACATTACTCGTTCTTGTTCCTTCAGTACAATTAATTACACACACACACACACACACACACACACACACCACTTGCCACTTTCTCTGCCTACAATTGTTCCCTAGCTATCACTATGGCTCATTTTCTCTCTTCCCTTGAGTATTTGCTTCCTCAGAAAAGCCTTTCCTAACCAACTCATATAAAATACCAGTCCTCATCTTCACATTCTACATCCCTGTCTCTTCAACCTGCTTTACTTTTTTTAATAAGGAGAAGTGCCATTATTTGGATTCTGATAATAAATAGCTGGATAAATCTATAAACTTTTTTTTAAATTTGCTATGGGGCACACGTGCTCACCAGAGAGAGCTAAAGTAAGAAAGTACCCTCCTGGGTGATGGCCACACCACAATCTCTTCTCCTGCATTCTCTCTCGGGATTTTTGGGCACGCGCACACATATACACACTCCCAGCATGTTTTCCAAGCCACTGGGTCCAGGACTTGAACTGCACTATCAGCTATGTGGGATACAGTCATCTTAACTACCATGCCAATGGCTGACCTAAATCTATGAACTTTTGTCGGCCACAATTTCCTCATTTGAAAAAATACTTGGACTAATTACTGCACATTAGAATCACATGGACAGATTTCATAAACTACAATCCCAGAACTGAATCTGAGATGAAAAGAATCTGAAGTTCTGGGGCTTCTTAAATTTTAATGTGCAAATTACTTAGGAATCTTATTAAAAATACTGATGCAGGGGCCAGCAGGTGGTATGCTTGTTGAAGTGTTGTACTGCCACATGGCCGACTGCAGTTCGAGTCCTGGACCTTGGCAGCTTGCTTTCTCACTTTCTCTCTCTCTCTCTAGTCAAATTAAAAAATAATAATAACAACAAATAAAATTAAATAATTCTTTTTAAAAAAATAAAATTCTAATTCAGGGCCAGTACAGTCTAGTGGTTAAGAAAGCTGGACTCCACATGGCCAACTTTGGTTCAAATCTCACCCCCCGTGTTAAAAACATGCTGGGTTCATTTCCATGTGTGCCCCAAATCCCTACAGGATGGAGAAATGAAGAAGGTATAGCAGACTATGCCCCCCTTGTAAGGTACTTTCTCCCCACCCTCAGGGAGTTACTCACCCTCTGGCAATTAAAAAAAAAAAGTGGTGATTCAGTGTCAGGTGGGACCCAAGATTCTAACAGGCTTCCAGGTGATGTGAATGCTGTTGATCCACCAACCACTCTGAGTAGCCATACAATAGGTGATCTCCAGGTGGCCTCACCATTCTTCTGTTCCATGGACAAAGACCATTAGTCACCAAAAATAATACATTTCAGATTTCTTGAAGATGCCAGAGTAGGTGGTGGGGGAATGATGGTAGGGGGTTGCCTAAGAAAAAGCAGAGTTGAGTCAGCCAGCGGTGTGGTGGTTATGGTGCCTGGATCCCTTATGGCTGGCTTTGTGATTTAAGTTCCAGACCTGGTAGCTTGAAGGGTATGGCAGGAATGTGGGTGTGTTCCCAAAGTCCCAAAGGGAGAGGCAGAGGAAAATGGATTGAGGTGTGACCATCCCCCCAAGGAGTGTTTTCTCACTTTCTCTCTCTCAGGTGAATGCACATGCCCTCTGGCAATTTAAAAAAGAAAGAAAAGAAAAGGAAGCAGAGCTATCATCAATGTACATCATTACTGAGGTTTTCATCTTACAAGTGTTGTTTTTTAACGTATGCAGCATAAAATCATTTATAGCAAGTGAAAACGAAATGCGTGCTCAATAGAAACTTTCAGCCTCTTCCCTGTAACCTTTCCACACAAAAATCCCCTTTGATTATATTTTGCATAAAACTGTCATTTTGAATTGTTTTCTGTTTCTGTGTCATTCTCCCTTTGTTTATTTACCTCCTGCTGCTTTCATTTTGCAGACTGCTGAGAAGCTATGCGTGCTCTGAGGGCAAACGTTAATAAATCATATTCGTTGTGCGTTTGTTTCTACTTTCTCAAAATACTTCTGTGTCAGCTATTGCAGGTGACACCTTCAAAACAACTAACATTCAGA